GGGATCACGACCCAGTCGGAGCTACGGAAGCGGCCCCCGTCGAGCTGACACCCGCGGTACCTGTCGTGGCCCACCCCCCACCGACTGAGGCGCAGCGAAAGGCAGCACCAGGATGGAGGCCTCGGGCCCCGACCCGGGCTGAGTCTGAATGGACCGGCGGATGGTCGCAGTGGAGCTCCCGGGGTCGGGACAGCCAATGGGAGCGGCCGCGGGGCTGGGAAACGCGGGGAGTGGCGAGAAAAGGCCCCGGGCTGGAGGGAATGGGATGACCCACCGAATCGCCTGTACAAGACCCCAGAGACGATATTCGGCGTGCACCGCAGTAAAGAGACGGCGACGGCAAACTCGAGACCTGGCCCGAGGTCATCAACCGTTTGAAAGCAGCCTGCGGGGCGCTCTTCGTTGAGGGATGGAACAGGACCTGCGACCAGAGAGACGGGAAGTGCCCTGGGAAAGGGACCTACAACTCGCGCGGCTACGACGAATTCAGCCGCACCTTCCTGGGTGCCCTTGCCCAGGTTCACTACGACATCCGCACCCCCCTCTGCCACCACCGCAACCCATATGTCGACTGGGGCGCAGTGTGGCAGCAGCAACAGCAGAGCCGCCAGAACCAGACAGCTGGAGGGAAAAGCCAAGGAGGCAAGCGCCCTAGCGAGGCAACCTGGCCCACTGGGGACCAGCCCCGGTTACGTGGACTCTAGTGGCGACAGACGACGACGGCCTTGCCGCTTCCTGGGCCCAGTGGGCGTGTCACAGATCCACCTGGACTGCGGCCACAGCGAGGCGCCTTCCACCCCAGGAGGGGCCCGCACCTCGATCCACCGGTCTGTGAACCTGTTAGGTGCGTTTCGCCTGGCGCGCCTCTTACCCCAGGGGGTGCGCCTCACGAGGTGCCTTCCATCCCAGGAGGTACCCCGCGTCCTGATCCACCTGCTTGTGCACCTGTTAGGTACGTTTCGCGCGGCGCGCCTCCCACCCCGCGTGGTGCGCCGGCTTCCAGCCCCCCAGGCTCGCCATCCACCCCAGGTGGTGCGCCTGGCTGCTGCCGGCGCGCCCCAACTTCTTTCAACCTGTCTGCGCACCTGTTAGGTGCGTCACAGCGAGTGCGCCGTCCACACCAGGCGACGCGCCCCACCTGGCCCCGTCGCATCATCTGCCCCAGGTGCGGCGCCCCGCCCGCCCGCCTCCCGGCGGCGAATACTTGTCTGCGCACCGCAAGTACCCGATTTGCGCGCCGTCCACCCCAGATGGCGCGCCCCGTCTCCTCGCGGACGCAGCATCCCGCCCAGATGCCGCGCCTCGCGCTGCCCGAGGCAAGCACTGGCTGCGGGCTCCTGGCCTCTGCGCACGGTGCGTCAGCCGTCACGACTGCACGCCCCCGCACCGCCCGCCGCTGGGGCGCCGCGAAGCGCGCTCCGCCTCGGGCCCCTCTGGCCCATGCCCGTTTAGCGCACTCGCCGCTTCACTGGCCTCGAGCCCCGCAGGTTGGCCGCCGCCTCTGCTGGTAGCTCGCGCTGCCCCGACTTGGGGTGCACCGCCGATGCGGCGCCCTCCCTTCCCCTTTTTTGCTTCCCAGCCCCGCCGGGAGCCCGCGCCCAAAACCCACTCCCACTGGGCGCCGCCCCGTTCTTGACCGCCCAGTCCTGGGCTCGGCTTGCTGCCCTTTCGCCCTCCTCGCCGCCGCCCCTTGCCCTCGCGTGGCCTCCGCGCGCCGTTCGGCGGCCGCCGGGCGCCGGCACTCTCCCGGCGCTCCTGCTCCTGGCCTCTTCGCCCCCCCTCCCTCGCGCTGCGGTCGCGCCTCGCCGCCGCCCCACGCGGCGCCGCGCTGGGCCACGCGCCCGCCCGCTCCGCGGCGGGCCCTCGCTGCCGCCTCCTCCCCCCCTCCCCCCCGCGGCGCCCCCGGCCCGCCCCGTTGGCGGCCCGCCGCTCCCGCTGCCTCCGCTTGCCGCGCCCCGCTCCGCCCTGCGGCTGCCGGCCCCTCCACGGGGCGCGCCCGCGGCGCCGCCCCGCGCTCGCTGCCAGGGGCTGCCCTGCGGCCTGGCCGCCCTGCGCGTGCCCCGCGGCCTCGCCGCGTGGTTGCGCCTTCTCCCCACTTCCTGTCCCACACCCCCTCGAGTCATGGAAAAATCACGACGGAAGATGTTTCGTTACTTTCGGCCTCGGGGGGCCCTCACCGGGCCTCGGGACCGTCAAAAACCGACTCGGGACGAGAAACCGGTCCCGGGGAATGGGTCGGGACCTTTTTGGGGTCGACGTTATGAAAAGAGAAAAAAAAAAAAAAAAAAAAAAAAAAAGACGTCGGGGGTCTGGATCTCTGCGGCCGGCTTTTTTCTTTCCCTCCCCCCGTGCACGCGGACAGTTCGCAACGCCGAAGCCCGGGTCGCTTGGGCGCGCGAGCGGATTGCCTCTGCCGCGCCGCGACGAAACAAGTTCACGTTCTCTCCATCCCCACCCAGCGGCTGAGTTGCACTTGACTCCAGCCTTCGTTTACACGGATGGTTCGGGGGGAGGTGGGGAGTCAGTACCGCCGTTCTGCGTTTTCCCGTGATCTTGCTGCATCCTCAATGGTCGCGGCACTATGGCGGCCACTTCGCGGGTGTCGTTGACCAGGATGCCTTGTCATGCCCAAAGGCTCACGCGAGCCTGGCACCCAAAGCGGTGGCCATGATATGGGCCACGGCTTGAAAAGTTCAATCACCTATTGATACGTTCCGATTTCATGTGGGTGGTAATGCTGTCGTTCGCGCGGCCCAAGACGAGAATGGGATGCCCGAGGTCTCAGGACTGGCAAGTTGTCTGCGAGCGCTAATTCTTTGCTTACAGCAGGATAAGAGTGCGGCCTTCCATCATGTGAAATCGCGTCTTGAGGACCCCATAGAGATGGCCGATTCACTTGCAGCGCTGATGTCGCTCAAGATTTCGCCACCAGCCAGCCTGCCCATGAGACTCATGGATGACCCAGACTCTCGCAGCATCGTGGGCGCGACTCAAAACAATGGAGAGCGATGGGTGGGCCCAGTTCCCGTCCATGTAGCAGGAGGACTTAATCCTGGTTTCGGATGCACCGTCGGTCAAGGACAGTTATCCACCTAGGGCGGCTAATCATGCCTCCTCTCATGACCTTCCCTTCACACGAATCCACCAAACACTTGGTGTTCCTTGCCTGCCCAACGATGTTGGGCCCCATGTTAGCTGTGAGAAGTACATGTGCCAACATACGAACCTTGCGTGCGATCAGGAATGAACCAAGCACGCTGCTGGTGGCTTGCCGCGTCAGACCAGACCCAAATGCTGGCTGCACACTTTGAGGCAGCAAAGCTACATGTGGTAGGCACGGCTGAATCCAGAGTCCCGAGGCCAGGGTGGACTGATCTCGGCGACATGATAATTCGTCATCGCATTTCGACTGCCAAGGGTGGCCATGGGTACTCCATCTGGTGTCGTAAGGGGGTCCCGCTGGTGCCAAACTTGCCATCACCTGTTATACAAAGGCACCTGCTCACGGTTGTAGTTGCTGAGCCGACTGCGCTCGTTGTGTTTGTTGCTGCGGGCTCTGAGTCCCTCTCATGTTGTGGCGGGCACGCTCCTCACACTAAGCACGATAAAGCAAATATCGTCGCCTGGTGAAACACGATGGATGCTCCCTTTACGTACACTCGTGCTGCCGCGCCGTGTCTGGCTCTGCTGATAACTGCCAACGCTGCGGTTGGCACCTTCCCATATGATGCAGTCCCACCAGCCCTTTGGGCGACAGGTGGTCTAAGGAGGGTCTCTTTCACCCTCCACAACCCCTCTTCCCTTCGGGGAGGGGAGCCGTCCAAGACGACACCCTCGATCCGTCAGGCCTGCGGGGACCGAGCCGGCGAGTCGTCCGCCGGAGCCCCCATGCGGAGAGGCTTCCCGGGCGCACGCTGCGCAGACAGCTCGACGGCAGCTCACGGGAGCCTCCCACACGGTGGGGGCATTGGCCAAGGAGCCCTTGGATAAGGAATCCAGGGTCTGGAGGCCGGTGGAACTCCAACTGAGGCTTGGCCGTGGACATCACCGCCGCCCCCATCGAGTGAGGAATCCTCCAGGGTCTGAAACCTCCTGGGCACATTCCTTGACGAACGCCCCCACCGTGCCATCTTGTCGGCTCTGGCGAATCGACGCGAGTCGACGCTAGTCGACGCCAGTCGACGCTAAATCGACGCGAATCGACGCAGCACGGGCGCTGAATCGGCGCAATTCCGTCGACCACCAGGCCTCCCGGGCGCTAAGCGACTCCAGTCGACGCTAAAGACGGAATTAAGAGGGTACACCAGGCTCCCATG